TTCATAAATTCTGGATATAAGTCCTTTATCTGATATGTTATTACCGAATACTTTTTCCCCAGTCAGTGGCCTCCCTTTTTACCCTGTTGGAGAAGTTTTTGGATGTGCACAGGGATTTGAGTCTTAGAAGATCCCATTCATCTACGCCATCTACTCTTTCAAGCATGATGCCCTTTTTCAAGGACTGGTCCTTCCTGGCCACGTGGCCAAAGTAAGTGAGATGAAGCTTCAAAATACTTGCCTCTCAGGTTTCACCCTCTTCAAGACAGACCGATGGTTTGTTCAACACACTTCAGCACCACAGCTCAAAGGCACAGGGTAGGTGCAGTTGCTAATCTCGCTGGAAGGAAGGACTAGGTAGAGTTGCTAAGTCAGTATGCTCAGATTGTCACAAGCCTCGAGTTTCCATCTTTAACACTCGGGCTCTGTCCACCAGTCACTGCTTTGGGAATCCTTCGGGTGATCTATGATAAAATTTCTCTCCATTTCTAGGTTTTCCACCCATCTCCCATGTCATGCATGTCTTTCTCCAAGAATTTTTCCCTTGTATCTGATTGGTCTCATGATGTATCTGAAGTACATCAGACTAAGTATCATTGTCTCTGCTTTCAGGAAGCATTGCTGTACTTCTTCTGAAGCAGAATCATTTGCTCTTGTGCAAGCCCATGGTATACTCAACATTTTTTACCAACACCCTAATTTAAAGTCCAGCTTTTGCAAACACATAAGATAACTAAAAAAAGTCATGGCTTGAGTTAGGTGTATCTTAGTCTTCAAAATGTTATCTTTGTTTTTTTAACATGTTCAAAGGGTCTTTTGGAACAGATTTACCTAGGGCAATATATAATTTAATGTTCTGATAATTGTTTCCATGGGTGTTTATTTGTGGATTCAAGTAAAATGAAATCCTCAGTAACTTCACTTTTTCTCCATGTTTCATGTTTTTGTTTATTGGTCCAGTTGTGAGGATTTCTGTTTCCTTTATGTTGAAGTGCAATCCATTCTGGGGACTACAGTCTTTGGTCTTCATAGGTAGTTGCTTCAAGCCTGTTCTCTTTCATCAAGCAAGGTTGTGACAGCTGCATTTTGCATGTTGTTACTGGGTCTTCCTCTAGTCCTCATGCTGCATTCTTCTTCATACAGCACACGCAGATGATTTGCTTTGCACCTGGTGGCCTTTGTAAATGCTGTTGAGACAGAAGTGACTCAGAGCTGATCCTCCAGGGGGTTTTCAGAGGCTGTAAATCACCTTGTAGAAGCCAACCCATCTTTCTTCTTTGAAACAGCTGGTGGATTCCAACTGCCTACCTTTGTGTTAGGAATACAACCCCTTAAGCACTAGACTGCCAGAACCCTTATACATATAGACATTAGTAAACACTCTCGAAAGTCAAACAGGTTGCAAATGAAAACAGACAGGAGAAGCAGGAAGGAATGCATGAGTTTTGCTTTTGAGGCGTAGGGGAGAGAGGAAAATACTCTGAGTTGTTTTCATGCATCTTAGGCGACCCTGAGTGTGCTGAGAAGTGTGGTCAGCACTCCCTGACCTCCTCTCTTAGCTACCTGCTATCATTTCCTCTAGGGCACTGACCAGTGTATATCCTGGTTCAGTGTCCTGAGTAGCCAGAGTTCAATCCCCACACCTTCAGGAGGGGATTCTGGGAGATGGGAGGGAAGGGAAATTCCATTTCGAGGACTAGTGACTCCCTGAGCTCCCCTGGGCCACCCTCTGGAATGAGTCCTAGTTGTCCCAAATATGCCCCCTATCGTGGTAAATCCTTAGAGAATTCAGTTAAATCCAAAAAGAAAAGTCTCTCTGCAGGTTAGCATCCACCCATGGCTCTGTAGAAAAGAAAAGCAATGCTCTCCTATGTGATTTGTACCATCAGAAAACCCACAGGAGGGTCAGTTACCTATTTGTCCTAATGCTAGAGGAATGAATGAAA